AGATGTTTACAATTACATTACAATAAATGTTTACCTTCGAAAACAAATTAAAAGCAAATACTAATTAATAATTAAATAAATATTTATGTATTTATTTATTTATTATTATTATTATTTTTTTTTTTTTGGAATTTTTAAAATTTTTTATACTGAATGTTTTGCAAGTTACTCATCCCCATCGAGTAAAATTATGAGAATATGATCAAAAATCTTAAATTTTAATGAGTAGTTAAATTAAATTAAACGCTTTTGCAAAATGCTGATGATATATATGACTCACTTAGCACATAAATATTTATAATAATTCTCATATATAGGAAGCAAAATAATAATAATAAGTAAATAAATAGGAACACAACATCGCGCGCAGCAGCATAAATCACTGCAAGTCATTGTTTGAAAGGAGAAATTTTTAAAAATAGAAAAAAAAAAAAAAATTGAATATCAAAACCATCAATAAATTTAGAAATTTCTTAGAAAATAAAAACAGAAACCTTTTAGTAAATAATTTTTTTTTTTTTTTTTTTTTCTTTGATGAGAAATTGTACGCTAAACCATAACACAAGCGATAATAAAAGATAAATGACATGAACCTCAAGGTGTTTTGAACATAAATTTAAATAATTTATACGAGCGGCTAGACGTTTAAGGTGCCTGCTGTCTTTTTCTCAATTAAAAATAAATTAAAAGGTTTTGATTTCTTTTCCAAAATACGACTTAAAAAAAAAAAAAAAAAGAAGCGAAAAAAAGCTCTTAGCAAAACCGAAGAAAGGAAGGTAAACTCTTCCCCTTCACTAATATTACATTTCAGTACCTAACGGTGTCAGGTACAAATCATCAGCGCATTAAGACCCTATACTCATTAATGGCATATAATTTGTCCGTCTCATTGGTTTAACTATGTCAAAAATTCCGATTTAAATCGAAGTTCATCCATCAACTATATGCATGAATTATGTAGACAATAATGTAACTAATATTTATATTTTACAAATTTTGTTTTGTTTTTTATTTTTTTTTTTCATCCGCCTTAATGGCCGAATAGGCAAAGGTTCTCAATGGTCGTGGGTTCAAATCTCAAGTACGATAGAGTTTTCAATCTAGCCGATAAGCCTTAAATGCTAGCACCAATAATAATATGCATATATCTATAATATATATATATATATATATATATATGTGTATATAATATGTATGTTTTTTTAAATCAATTTCAACTCAATTCCAATGAGCATTCAATTCACATCTCAATTTCAGTTCAACGGCTATCTGAGGTGAATATAGTGGATCTCGTTTTTAAAGAGCCTCCAAGATTCGTTGCAAACTTTTTCTTATGTATTTTTTTTTTTTTTTTTGTTTTTCTTTTCTAACGCTTAGCATGGAAACATCATAGCTGTGTAGTAAGCGGTTCAAAAACAAAGAGTATTATGATTAATTACATGTTACAATTGTAGACGATCATCTTCGTCATGAAGTGGGGGCTTAGAGCTTAAAAAGAATACATATCTCAAAACAAGTCTTTTTTTTTTTTTTTTTTTTTGTTTGTTTTTAAATACAACAATGAAGTTCGAGTAGTGTATACATATATTTAAGAGAAAAAAAAAAAAAAGTATCATTAACCCCTATCGGACGTTGGCATTCTGTATTTTACTAGCTACCAAATGAAAGTTTTATTTCAAGTTTTTTTATTGTACATTAAACAAAAGTTAAATACGTTAGGCGAATTGAAAAGAGATTTTTCTACATAAAAATTAATTAAGAGTTGAATTTTAGCTGCTCATAACTGTTAAGCGATATATATATATATATATATATATATGTATATATATGTATATGCAGATTTGACAAAGAGCAACATTCTAAGAACTTTAATCTGACCTTCTCGATTCCATTTATATACACTTCTTTTTCCTTAATCCTTTAACTGCGTCAGGGGAAATATTTTTTCCTTGTTTTTAAAATATTCATGATTATCGTATTCAATTATATCCTCCTTCTTATCGGCATTTTTTATAAAATTAGGACTATCTGAACGTCTTGTTCAAACGTCCAAGCCCAAAATACAGATTCATCCAGATGTCATAAAGTAAAGTAGCTTCATGCGATGGGCGATGCACTAGAAAGTTATCTGCTAAAAGGATTAACCAAATATCAGAATTAAAACTGGTTTTGATGCACGGTTTACAGAATTTGTAGCAAGGGTTTAACGTGGGTTCCTGCCTGAAAGGCTTAACCGCACGGTGGCCCAAGCCACTTTAAGCGTATCACGCCCCCTGGCGAGTAAGACAATCCCCACAGAGTAGGGGCCTAAACAACACCAGAGTCCAGAACGGTTTATTGTGTATGGAACAATAAACCCCACTCTGGCCTAGCTGCACTCCAATTGTTCTACTTTGGCTAGGAACTTGCCAACCACAACCACCACGAGTACTCCCTGAAGGACCGCACCCAAGCAGTCAGGACTCAGTTTACAAGAGGAGAGTAAAAAAGATGGATCGAGAAAAGACAGTTGGATTCCGGACGCCCTACCTACGTGTGACATTCTATACAAAACATGCAGCCAATGCATACGAAAAATTTTTCTCCTACAGTCTTTCACGGGTTAACTTACTTTTCTTCTCTGACATATATATCTACCGGCGAAAAAATAAAGTTCCGTCATTATAGTTGGAAAAGCTGTCTCTTTCATGTTAACCATTGATTGGAAGGGGTTAATAAAGTGTCGATGAATATAGGTAAAAATTTTATGATAAGGGAGGGGGAGCGCTTTTAATAAAAATTAATTTTTGATTAGAAGCAAATCTGTTTCACGTCACTCCGTTATACTCGAACTGTTTACTTTCAGTTAATTATTAATTAACAGACGAAAGAAAAGAAAACAACTGATCGAAAGAAAAAAATCATATTTTAAAAAAAATAAAATTAATTTAAAAAAAAAGAAAAGAAAATTATAAAAATTCTATCACAATAATTTAACTAAGTTTATGCAAAAAATATATATTAGTGAGAGAAAAGCATATAATTTAACTGCAATGAAGTGTTTCAATCACAAATCATATACGCACGGACAGCAAAAAGGAGCAGGGAAATAAATTTGCGAACTTTCACTTCTACCGATATATGTTTTAAGTTTTTTCGATTTGTTGCGTTCCCTTAAAAGCGCATTGATTGATTGATTGAAAGGGGGGTGAAAAAGAAAAATCATAAGGCACTCTCACGTATTTTGAAATCTAGTTTCAACAAGAAGAGAGTTTTACTTGGCGCCTAATAGCTGGCAAAGGGATCGATTTTCCGTAGGGGAAAAAATGGTTTCCTTACATATAATCGCGTAGAGGTAACACCTTACAATCGCATTGCAGTACAAATCGTAATTTTTTGACATATTTTGATGATATTTGCTACACCAAGAGCGAACGCGGCACTTTATCAATCACTATCCATATAACGCCTCAATTAAAAAAGGCGTCAAACGAATAGCCTTACAGCGTGATCGGTCCTTGTCCACTATAGTGTTTTTACTTGTTTTAGTACACTTTGAAGAAAACTATTGATAATTCTCAGTTTAACAATGTAATTCTAAACTGGAATCGTAAGTCACGGTTTACTTAATTCTATACGCAATCGCATAGTGATCAAACTTAGGGTTTCAAGTTGTTGAGATCTTATCTTCTAAGTAATACAATTAAAGTAAAAAAAAGGAATAATTAAACAAAAATTTCTTGAATCAACTTAAAAGAGCAAGAGGAAAATTAATTGCTTTACCAAGGTGACGGGCAACAGATTTTCCTCTTAATTGCATTCATATCGAACAGACGAAAAATTATTGCATAGGAAACAAAATACTATTATAGTAAACAGACAGGCGGCTTGCAGAGACTCATCGTAATTGACTGAATATGTTCCGCGTAAAGTATGTATGGGACATAAGAAGGGCATTATTATCTAATCATTTTTTTAACTATATGCACACAATTAAAAGCATTAAAATGCTTATACAATTTTTAAGAATCTTTTCAAAAACTATTGCTTTGAAGAGCTTTCTAAAAGGTAAAAAATAAATGAATGGATAAACGACTTCGAACTGCATGCACGTCAAAGTAAAAAATCAATTATTTAAGTACATTTTTAATATTATAGCATAAAAGTAGGAAGAATAATAACAACAACAAAAATGAACATGAAAATAAATCGTGCATTGCTCAATATATTAAATCATTAAAGATTCCGATTGTAAGTGTTAAATGTAGGATGATTTTCAAAAAAAAAAAAAAAATAAAAAAAAATAAAAAAAAATACAAAAAAAAAAAAAAAAAAAAAAAAAAAGAAACGAAAGCAAAAGCAACAACCTGTTGACAATAGATCCAAACAATCTCACACATGAAAACAACATCAATAACCAAATAACCATCGCTCTGTCAACGTCACCCCAGCATCTTTTGCAGTAAATTACAAATAAACAAAAAAACGAACGACATTATTAAAGAAATACTCATCTATCCAAGCCAATCCGATCTACCTTTGACGCGGTAGCAATCACAACTAACAACTAAATTTAAAACAATGAGAAGAGAATTACCATACAATATACATGCGTACATATATACATACATATATATATATATATACATATATACATACATATATACATAGATGCATAAATAAATCTATACATCTGCATAGATATATATATATATATATGTATTATACATATACATATGCGTTTTATAAGAACACATAAAGTTTCATGTGTACCTACCTACGAAATAGAAGCCAAACAAGCAACTCGCTGGTAAAACAATAATAAATTATTGCATGTACAGGTTTTGCTCTGAACTGAATGCTTTTAGTTTGATTCTCGATGTTGGATAGATCGGTTCTACTTGGTTGTAGCAGTGGTTCAATAAAAAAAATACAAAAAAAATTGAAAGTTTAGCTTAGAACCAAACTCAAGTTTATAAACAAAAATCACGAAAACGTTTTTTCTTTTTTTTAAAAACGTCCAAGTGTTGTTGTTGTTAAAAACGTAAAAATATATACATACAATAAATACTAAATAAAAAAAAAAAAAGGATAATAAAACGAGATTTTTTCCATAATCACGAAAGCATTTGAAAAAAAAAAAATAAAATAAAAAAAATAAAAAATTTACTTATTTATTATATATCAGAATTTTTTTCTAATTATTTCTAACGACAGTAAGTTCATATAAAGACATTATTATAGAGCAAAAAAAAAAATTACAAAATTAACAAAAAAATTTTTAGATTCATATATATGTATAAAAAACTAACTATGCTATTAAACACCGACATATAACGGTTCGTTGTTTTTTTTAAAGAGACGCACACACATATGCTTAATCTTCGCGTACACACACACACACACACACACATTGTCGACATACATAAATGCAAAACGATGACTAACGTAGTGCTAATAACATAATGCATAAAATCTTTTCTTTTTTTTTTTTCTTTCAATTTTTTTTTTTTTTTTTTTTTGTCTTTTAAATTAACGAACGTAAATAAAATACATATTAAAATTAATCAGAATTTTCACACAATAAATAAAACAAATTAAGAAAAAAAAAAAAGGCTTGCGTTTGTTTATATTTCGCAGCAATGCTAACCAAAAGTTTGCATTTGCAACATCATTTTTGAAATAATGGATAAAAAATGAAACAAGAAGAATAAGAGAAAACGTAATTCTTTTCGTACATCTTTTGAAAAACTTTTTTTTTCTTTGTTAAAAATCAATTATGATTAAAAAAAACGTAACATAAACATTATTTAACGACTTTGATTATTATTATTTTTTTTTTTTGTAGTTTATTGTTTTTAATCTCGCCATCGCGAAGGATCTCAGACAAGCTTTAATTTAAAAACTTTTGCTTTGGTCAACCAAAAAGGGAAAAAAAAAACTTTTGCAATTTTGCTAACTACACCTCACGAAAAACCTATGAATATGGGTTAGAGTCATCCTTCCGTTCACAGAAACTGCAAGTAAGAGTCTTGAAGAAGTATTTCGAAAGAAATCAACTCAAGATTGCTTCTCAATTAAATAATGTCCTTATGTCCTACTGTCCATCCATCAGTCAGCCTGTCTTTCTTATTGTCAGGATTGTTAAGCTCAGCTCAAAAACTTATTAAAAACCGGTCTAAAATGTCGGTCACAATAATAAAAAAAAAAAAAAAAAAAAAATGAAAAAAAATGAAAAAATATCTTAAAAACCTTCTTTAGAGCGAGAAAGAGAGAGAGAGAGACTTTTTAAATTTGTATAACCCACAGCGTTTGTGGCACAAGGATGCATTAAGTTCGTGCGGATGTATGTAAGACCAAGAAGGATTTGAGATAGACCCACCCACTTTTTTTTAACCCAACGATTCAGAGTCACATTTTGCACCGATCTAACCTTCTATGTCTCTCTCTCTCTCTCTGTGTGTGTGTGTGTGTGTGTGTGTGTGTGTGTGTGTGTGTGTCTCTTTCCCTCTTTTGTGGTCAACTTACAGCTCAGAATTTGTGAGATATTTCAATGAAATTTAACATACCGATCGTGCCGTACCATATTTTGCCTTTCAGCTCATCTATCCTCCTATCAAAGCAACAAAGATGACAAACATATGAAATGCTAGAGTCTTACAAACTGAGTATTTCATATTCTTTTTCTGGCTTCTCCATCTACTACAATCCTATGATTGTTCCTGATTACCATCGTGCTTGCTCACACATATACAAAGCTTTAGCTTTAGATTCTTACTCGCGGCTTCATATTTCGGAAATTTTGACTTGTTAAAAAGACAATTGATTAAATCGATTGATATACTAAAACATGTATCTCGCTCAAGTCATTCTTGATTCATTATACTAATAATAACAATAATAAGATATAAGTAAACCTTCTTTCATACTCCCCCATCAATAAACTTTCGTAATCATCAACACCGTCGCGCTGTTGTGAGGAAATCCTCTTAGTTGTTGGAAGAGCGAGGAAAAGAAAAATGAATAAAAAAAATCAAAATACTATGAGAATAATTACGTGTCGACGAAGAAACCTCACCAATCTATCGAACATTTTCATAGGCAGATATACTTAGCATATTATCTGTGGAGATTAAATAAATATGGGAAAGTAAAACGAAATCCATGCATAGCAAATAACTGTATCTGTTAGTTAACAAATGAGATAAAGTTCAACTGTTAACTTATATTAGGAAAGTGTACACACGAAGCTATGCATGCCATTCAGAATTCAAGCACACCAAATGAAATTCTTTTTAGGCATCTGGAAATGTAATGCTATTGGGAAAATAATTTTCATAATCTCGAGCAATGAAAATTTTCAAATATTTTACATATGATTTGCTGAATGATTATTTTTTGAACACAACAGCACTGTATCGTACCGTCTATCTTACTATATTATCTGTAAAGTTCAAGATCTGTTATTTTATATGTATTTCTAAAAATAGATTAGCTTTTATTTTATATAAAATTCGGTAGTTACATGACAAGTATGAATTAACGACTGACTAGCAAAATATTGTTATTTTTTGTACTTGAATAGATTGGTTAGTCTTTTGAGAGAATATTGATTGAATTGACGGCAAATTCCTCGTTTTAATTATTCGGCAGTTTGCTTTTTCCGTATGCCTACTAGGCGGACTCAAGTTTTCGCAATTTTGCATCACAACAGCGAACACAAATAAATCAATATAATAAATTTTCACAATTTTTGTGATCACTTTTATTTAAGCGCCGACAATTAATTTTTTTCTATGCGATCTAGTCACCAAAATGTCGATCGGTGAGTTTAAACGTAAAGGGAAGTAAGTACACATGCAAAGTGAAATGTTTAACTGTTAAACTGCCAGCGTATAAGTAAATCTATACAGATTTTTTTCTGGAGCAAAAATTCCGTTGATTTTAACGATTATAATCTTGATGACAGCTTTCCGGCCATACATTCACTGGATCGAAAGTTATAGATAAAAATAAGAACAATCTCTGTTCAGTTCTCATACTCATCTCATGGATTTGAATTCCTAATCGATCAAGGAGTATATTTGCGCCAAATTTCAGGTTATATAATCTTCATTCATAAGGAGTGTAACAATACCATTGAAAAGTAGATGAAATTAATCCATTTTGATAGATAGATAGACGGCGTACGCAAGGCATTGATAATTCTATTGGTAATAAAAAGAATGTGACCTGGATTCATCAATCAAATGGCCAAAAGTAGAGAACAATTAAAAGAGTAATAAATGTTTCTTGTGAACATTTTTGCTAAACACGAAATTTTTAGACTTTGTCTTTGCAAAGGCAAGTCGAATAGGAAAGGCAACGACAAGAAGACCTATTTAATTATTTTTCGGTCAAGTTTTTCAATCATAAAGAGTTACACAGCAGCTTCATATATGCATCGATACAAAGTTTTCTGTGGTTTCCCGGGACATGCTTACTGCTTACAAACTCTTTCTCGGCTAAAAAGCAATTCTAAATTTCTTATTTATATTATTTAAGATTATAAGTAAAGCAGCAGGAAAAGGGAAAAATTATCATTTTATTTTTGATTTTTTTTCTTTCTTTTTTTGGCACTTTAATAAGATGAATGATTATTGGCATATACCTCGTGCTTCATTGTCGCCATCGACAACCTCATCATCGGCAGCGTCGTCAATATCATCGACGGAGCGCAATAAAAACATGCATATAAAGCAAAAAAAGCAATCATTTAATGCAACGATCCAACCTACACATATCAATCATTATCAACAACGTCAGCTTCAGATACAACTGCAGCAGCATCCTGCTCATCACTATCAACAGCCAATCAATAGCAATAAAACGTATAATAATAATAATCGAGTAGGAGTCATCGACAACGTTTATAGTAAGAGGAATGAGAGCGGTATGATTGGTTCAAATGCAGTAATTTCTGCTACAGTATTGGCAGCAAACAACAAAAGAGGTTCAAGATCATCACAGGGTAGCAGTGATAGCAATAGTAGTACAAGAGTATGATTTAATTTAAAGCATTTCAAGCATCGATCGATATTTATTCATTTTTTTTTTTTTTTTTTTTTTTTTGTTTAATTACATAATAATCTTCTTTTAGAGCGGCGCTTCAGGTTCTCTGCTCTTGACAGCAGCGAATTTAGAACGCTTTGCCGAGATACATAAAAAGCAAGAAAAGCAAGTGAGCGCTCCGATGCCGCAGCAAACAAAATCAATAAATCAATCACCTAAACTCATAAATGAAACGAATATGTTAGATATGAAATCGTCGATAACTTCTAGCTATAAAGCAAATTTGGTACAAGCTTCGAAACAAGGTGACTACCAATTGGCTACGATAGAGTTAGATAAAGAGAAGGAAGATCAAGAAGAACCGACACTAACAGCGCAACGAAACGAAAAATGTCTTATCGATGTGGATCCTAATTTAAATTTTATTAAAACCAAAGATTTGGATACCGTCTCGATAGCCAGTTCGATGCATTTCACAATGATTAATTTTGAGACGGGAGTCAATAAAAAAACAAAAAAAGGTCTCTGTGATCGCGGCCGTCAAGTAACGGTATTAATAACGAGCATGAGCATTATATTTCTGCTACTTATAATGGGTATGGTTTATGCTTGTGAAAGTAAGTTAAAAAAAATTTAAAAAAATTAATAAAAAAAAATTAAATAAAGAAAAATACAAATTAACAGTAGATAAAAAAAAATAAAAATAATATTAATTTTTTTTTTATTTTAGTGCGTGCCCGAGAAATGCCTCAAAGTTAACGATATTATAAGGACGAGCACATGTAAATCTACAAAGAACTTGTTTCGGTCCTTCGAAAAAACTTGAAGAGTATTGACAAAAAAAAAGAAAAAAAAAAACAAATAGAAAAACAAAAAAAAAAAAAGAATTAAGATATATCCACCTTAGGGCGGTGGTTACAAACGTAACAAGCAAGGGCAGGCATACTTCCATACTTTTTCGTTGGTGGTATAAAAGAAAAAAACATTTTTTTACACATAAAAAAAAAAAAAAAATTTTTTTACTTTTAAGAGTAAATTCATTCATTAGAAGTCCGAAAAATTCATTAGAGGCAATCGTAAGTTACATAAAAAAAAACACACACACACACACACACACACAAAGAAAAATAACTTATGTATAAGATAAATGATAAATGAAAAAACAATTTTTTTTTAACGTATAAACAATTTTTTAAATTATATCCTTACTTTAATTTAGAAATATTTTATTTATTTTATCAATTAATTCAATATCATAAAATACTTGTCGTCTCTATCTACATAAAGTCTATGTCATTGAATAATTACATTCCAGCCATACGCGATTACTTGTAAGAAGCTAAACGAATTTTATTCTTCCGTTGTGCTTGCAGTAAATACCTTACATGCGCTAACGATTTATAAATCAATTTGAGTCATTGCACTCTACACCATTTGTGGCAAAACGGTATATTTACGCGAATATATATATAACAACACGCAGAAGGATTTGGCATACACACACCTTTAATTTTAGCTTGTCCGTCCGTGTGTCTTATGTCTTGTTTTCTTGTGCTCAACCTACATATCACAATATTTTAGTAAAATTTAGTACAATGGGGCATGTTTCGGCCCAAAGACGAAAGCTATCGGAAATGCTTGCTTGGGTTCGGATCACTCTTTCGACCACTTCCCATATAACACCTTATTTTAAAAAGTTGTTATATGAAAAACTGTATTAAACAAAATGGTGGTGTAGGGTATTTACTTGTGGGCCGTAGACCTTTAAGTTATTTTATTTATGGAGAATTCATGGACAGCCAGCCTCCAACTGAACATGAAGTAATTAAGCAGACAGCAAGAAACGAAACGCAAAGAATTTTCATCATCATGATGCATATGCATATCCAGAGTTTACCTAGAAATCTTGCACTCATCTTTTCGGTTTTCTTTACATGGACTTATATTATATAAATTATATTATGAAAACTGAAGGATCAAAGCCAAATCCCTTCCGCATTTCGCATATCGATATCATTTCGCGTATATACTCTCGTAGTGGTTATTAAAGGTTCGGCCAGAGCTGAACATTATTAGAATTGTTGTTTTAAATTTCAACTATTTGTTGAATAATTATTTAGCATTTAACACACTTTTATAAGTATGCACATACATACACACATCATCATTTTAGTTCAGAAAAATTCACAAAGTCATGAATGTCGCTTTCCTTAATTTGTTTAAGTTTTTTTTTTTTTTTTTTTTAACTTTCAGTTGTTCTTTTTTAAATATATTTTCTTAGAAATTTGTCTTAACACTTGACTTAATATATTTTATTAAATTTAAATTAATAAAAAAATGCAAATATTTATTTATCCCTGTGATATGTTTAAATAAATTAGTCTATAATATAATAATAGAGAATAAAAAAATTTTATAAATTCTACCAACGAAAAAGTTGCAATACTTGATTTTTATTTTAAAAAAAAAAAAGAGTAGCTTCCCAAAGAAGACAGATGCTAGAGCATATAAAATAATTATATGAGTTAATTAACTTGGCCACTGGAAAGGCGTGTGATAGAAACCCATTGTCGGTTAAGAAAAAAATGCAGACATCTGATGAACATCAAATGATCACATGTTGCACTTTGCATTGCAGTACACGCGACATTAAATTTGCACGGACGTGTGTATGTACGGAGAAGGGCTTAAGATAGATTCATCTTTTACTACACCGATAGATTCAGAATCATTTTCTAAAACGATCTATGGCTTTAGCTTCGTCTAACGTCGGTCCATGTAAATTTGTTTTCAAGTTACAGAGGTGCTTTGACCCACGAACGAAGGCTATTGAAAACGGTTTCGATCGTTTCACTTTTTCGACCTCTCCCTACCATATAACGTCCTATTTTAAAAACTCGTTATATGATAAAAATTTCAATTTCAAAATTATTCAATAAAACTTGCTCTGTATGTATTAGTATGAAACATTTGGTTTGGCTAGGGCAATTTTTTGAACATTCTTTCATATAGCTGTGCCTATGAGAGCGCAATCTTCATATAGTAAAAAGATATAATTGCTAATATTTTATAGAGATAATTAGTAAACTGACATAGAAATCTGATTGAAGGTGTGTTTGTTGTTATACGGTAAATAAACCGCCCAGATTCCACAAATACGGTAAATAAACCGCACAGATTCCACAACTACGGTATATAAACCACCCAAATTCCACAAGTTAACCGTCCAGATTCCCCAATAGGATTACCAAAGAAAAGTTAATTATTAAAGTTAAAACAATCTCTCTTTCAGAGTTGCATTTGGAATAAAACTGCGGCAAAAGAAAATTACAAAAAGGGCTGTTAGCAAATGACTTATTAATACAAGTATTCACAGATTCGAATGTATGTTTTTAAGCTGTATTTGTTGGATATAACCACATGTAAGAATTCCAACAATATGTGGACTTTCATGAAAAGTATGCCTTTGCATGAATATAATATAATAGGCAAAGTGGTATAAGGTTTTTATTAAGCGCCCTTGCCCGATTATGTCCCATCTTGTTTAAATATATTTTACATGCGACTTCGTTTATAGAAGAGGAGATAAAGTTGACCTTGTAACCAAATTTCAATGGTCAAAGAACTGTAACTCACGGTCCGTACCGCATAGCGTGTATCATTTAAGACCATCTATCTGATAGACAAGCGTGAAACAGACTATTTGGTCGGCTCACCTAAAATACTTTGAAAATCTATTTGCCCACCATTGAGGGATGTTAGTATTTTTTGGCTTTCCCTTAGTGACACCGTCTGATATTTTTACTAATCTATGTGAAATTTTTTTTTCCCAATTGGTAATTCACTTAACTGCTCCACTGTTCATATGAAGCTTATATATTTTTGTATTTTACACCACGTTTCATACAAGTGTTGCAAGGTCTGTCACCCTAGCATCCGTTACAATTTCCAAGCTACTCTAATGAAATTTGCTACGCTAGCTTGTTCGAGTCCCTTGTCAATCTCTATTTAGAATAAAGTGAGTCAAAACATTCATACACGTACTATATACGAACAGATGGAGGACTTCTTTGCATGTGAAGTTTGGAATGTATATTCAGGCGAGCTCAGTCATTTAGTATTTCGTATCACTAATTTTATACCCGTCACCGGCAAAAATGCGTGGTATATTCATGTTGCAACACCCAGAAGCAGCCTTCAGAGACCGTACAAAGTTTACATGTATTTGATCAGCATTCAATTTTGGATTGATTTAAGGCAGGCCCGTCTGTCCGTCCGTGTAATGTCAACTATAAACATTCTCCTGATTGCAAAATTGAAGCTGCCTACTGTAAATTTAGCAAAAACCTTGGAAATGCCTACATGTAAGTTGATATTGAAAATGGGTCAACTCAGTCACAAGGCACGCCTAACTGAGGACACATTTGGTTTTTTTTTTTTTCATTACTCATAAACTATAGCAGATAAATGTACAAAAATTTGAACATATAATGTATAGGTGGTGCATGTAGTACATGCACAAAAATGGAACAAAAGGCGCCATGACTACCACGTACTATAATGTATGAAACTTTATTTTATTTATTTTTTTTTCAACGCGCATAAGCAAACTTCAAATACTCGATAAAGTGTACAAACTCTTGGCTAACTTCAAACTCGGAAGTAACATAGGCATATTCGTCCTGTTCGTCTGTCTATCGGTCCGTCTGCCCAACTATAAAATATCTGTGGTAAAGATTCTCCAGTTCAGAAAAATTGACATATCGCCTGTAGATTTTAAGGACATGTCTACAACGGAAAAAGCTGAATACACATTTTTATTTTTCGCGTTTTCTTGAAAATTAATAAAAATAAATAAATAAGAAATTAATATAGCAATTTTTATAAAGACTCAGTTGTTGAGAAAATTATTCCTTCTTTTTTTTTTTTTTTTCCTTTGTCTAACTATAAATTCGCTTTAAGCCAAAAAATACTATAAAGTCCTCTGTTGGCGAAAGAAGAGAAAATGACTTTTCGAGCGCAATCTAATTGTACATGAATATGCTATTTTTTTATCATTGTTTGTCGATATTTAAAAATTGCAAATTTTTCCCATAGTAAGATTTCTTCAAAATATGACGTAATATAAGGAGTTCATTGAAAATATATATTTTGTTTAGCTTTTAATATGAACAATGAAAATGTAGATATACAAAATTCATTACATAAAACGAGTTTTGATTGTAAAACAAAATTAATCATCAATTAGTATGAAATTCTTATGTCATACACTACTTTGGGTATGAAACTGAATTAAGTTTGTGTGGATATATAAAACACCCAGAGGGACTTGAAATAGACCCACCTTTTATTGCAACGATACTCATCGTTTATTGCAATAATACGAAATCATCGATTCAGAATCACGTATTGAATTCATCTAGACATGTCTGTCCATCTGTCCGTCTTGGATTGGTCTTTAGTCAAAGGTCGTACAAGGTCGTTATTTTTGAAATATTTTGATGAATTTCGGTACACCGGCTTAGTTTAGGCCAACGTCGGATCACTTTTTCGAACACTTTCATCGTTATATGGCCTAATTTGAAGAATAACTGTATTAAGCGACGTGTTATAGGGTATTCAATGGAAGACTGCGGCCCACTATAGTGTTTTTATTTGATTTTGGAAATAAAATACGATTAAATAAAAAAGATATTATTATACTCGTTATTAAATCCTGAAGTTAGAATTAGAATGAAGACTTACGACCTCTAAATACAAGGTAGTGGATTGCCAACTGTAAGTAGTTGCTATTTTAGTAAGTATTAAAATCAGTCAAAATTCAGAAAGATTTGTATTTGACTGATTTAAGAGCTTGCAACAATGATTTGCAATACCGTCTCCACATCAATAAAATCAGCTTGCTCATTGAAGCTAGCAGCGAAGCCTTCTAAACCTCTAAAAACAAAGTCATGTTTTTATATATACAGTACGATTAACGAACTGCAAAATTGTATCAGGCATAAAACGTAATAGAATATAATTCGCAGATTACTCTAACCATATCACACTTACGCACTGGGCATTTTTCACAGCGCAGTGTTCGACCGTAAACTAGTAGCTAACCAAATCAATTCTTTAAAGATATTTACGGCCAATTTTAACATAATTTTCGGAAAGATAAAATTGCTTCGTAAATTCACAAAAAGATATTTGACATGTAAGAAATAATGGCCTAATAGAAACGAATCTGGAAACGAGTCTGGAATCCTTTACAAAATTTTTATTTTCCTGTTGGTTAATCTCAGTCCCAAGACTCAAATTGGTATTTTGACGAGCTAGCAAATCAATAATAATCTCAACATTTTTCACATTTTTGCAACAGCATTTGTCAAAAGACGTGACATTGCATTAATACTACGTGGAAGAACTACCTCTCTCTGGTTATCATTCGTTTCAAACTAATTGCATTTAGATAATCTAACCATTTGAACTTCCGTGTTGAGATTGTATTTCTTATACTAACTTCCTATGTTCACCTATTGTCGACATTATAATTTTTTAATAATTAAATAGTTAGTGATGAGCCAAAAGAAATTTAACTTATATTATTTTAATACGTCCAGGAAGCCACCAAATCGAAGACATAAACCCAATAATATACATCACTTACCTCTATTTCTCCCAAAGTTTGTGTCCACATGTACTTATCTAAAGTACAACCATTGCCTGCGTTCGGTAACAGTTTGCCAATTTCATCTTTCTCCGAATCGTCTTCTACTTTCTCGATAGGCTTGGATATATCATCAGTGATCATAACAGGACCAGTTCCATCAGCAGGAGTAGAATCTTCAAGAAGTTTTTGACGCTTTCTATAACATACAAAATAAATTGTGATAGCTTCCATGCGATTCTAACAAAGAACCTACTTCGATTCTTCCTCTTTAATTATCTCAGCTGCTTCCTCATCAGTGATATCGCATATTTTCTGATTTGATATCTCTTTTTCTCGGGCAGCAGCAGCAGCAGCAGCTTTCACTTCTTGTTCCTTATCCTGACGTATCTTTTTCTCTTGCTCTTGCTGTTTCAGTTTCTTCGCCTGATCTGACATAGCAATTTCAGCCTCTTTGCGGAATATGTCCATCATAAATTGCTCCCAATCGCCCGAAAAGAAATCACTTTTACGTCTTAAGAATCCAGCAAATGTACGTAAAAACTGAAATGCATTATTAATTAAATGATTTCGAAAGAAAAATTTAATAAAAACTCACATCAGGCATTCCTCCGGAATGTTTTTGAGCCATAGCCAGGAAAATGTGATCGTATTGCTCATCAGAATTAGACATTTTTTATATTTCAATATAAGATCGTAATTTTTAACTACTAGAGATATGTCTTTTATTAGGATTTTTCTAGAAACTTATTTGCTGAAAAAATATTTACTTTCCTCACACCGGTGTAATCAACAATGAAACGTGCAAAGTCAAGTAAACGCTATTACCATATTTCTGTGACCATCACGCTAGACAATCGAAATAATATGAGGTAACTGTTAAATCTCGTATATTCTTATAGAGGTAACCCACACATGAAGCGATGCAGAATACCGTATAATATTTTTAACATTGTATTAAGCGCTATACAATGAGTTCACTTTTCACTTTTTGTTTCATGAACGATTCAATATACAAAATCCAATTGAAAAACTGTTCACTTGCTATTTCGAAATAAAATCAAGCATATGCTTTGAAAGATTTATTCTGAAAGGACTTTTTTGGAGAAAAATCCGATTAACAAAGCGAGAAAACATTTTTTTTCCGTATATAAATAGATAGTAATATATCTCGATTTTTTTTCCATTTTTTTTTTTTTTTTTCAATAAAAGCTTGAAGTATTAAGCATATAATATTGTTCTGTTCTCATGAAATATTCACTGTTTTGCCTGTCAATAACGCATCAAGCGGAAATTTTAAAAGTTTTTCAAAAATGCAATAAGCGAAGCAAACTATACGTTCAACTATATATATAAATACGTATAAACAAGTTTATTTTGACAGTTTCGCACAGTGTGTGCAAGAAACGAAAAACGAAAAACGAAAAGCGAAAAGCAATCATTGTATATAGTAACTTAAATAAAAACAAAACAAATTCTAATTTTGTTTCGAAGTGCTCAATGTTCCTTGCTTTGAAAAGCAGTGCGTTCTTTGTGAAATAAAGGGGGGAAAGAATATTTTTTACCCTCTTTTTAGCTTTTAATTTGACAGTTCAGATCTATCTGATTATTGAAACGGAATTAAATTGTTACGGAAATGTTGCTAACGAAACGTTCCAATTTATAACATACAGTATATTTGAATAATGGAATGAAGCATATTGGAAAATTACAAACCTGCAAAAACATTGTTATATATACTTATAAGAAACAAAGCCGAATTGGTACAAATTTTACGCTAAATGTGCAAGGTATGAAAGCTGATATCTCTTCGCGTCGGAAGTAGATAGAAATTTAAAATTCAAATCAAATTTTTCTCTGAGAGGATTACTTGGCATCATTATGTATTGCTGGCATAGTTATTGTAAAATCCGTGAGGAAATTTCTCTATTGGAAAATTTTGTTTCAGCCGTGTGTTAAAAAGGCGAGAAAGAAATAGAGAGAGAATCACCACTTTTTAACAATACAAATCTAAAGAATTTGAATTTTATTTTTGAGTTTTTTTTTTTTTTAATATAATATAATAAAAAACTAAAAAAAATAAGAAATAATAATATTAATAAACAATAATAATAATAATAATAATAATAATAAGAAAAATAAAACAAAAAGATTTCTACATTAACAGAGCAAAACTAAATTTTACCGTATCAACAGAGGCATGCATCTAAAAAATTTTTTAGTGGATTTTTTCTCTTTGAACAATAAAGACGTGTACGATTTCTTATCGCGAGTACTTTGGTAAAATTTTTCAAAGCGTATTTTATATAAAGTGTATTTTTCTTAGAAACCAAAAAAAAAAAAAAAGTTCTTTGGGATTTGTTAAATATATATATATACATATATATACGTGTATATATATATATTTGTGTGTGTGTGCGCGTATTGTGCATACGTATAGAAGTTCATTTAACGTATAAATGAAGTGTTAATTATTAAAAAAACGGAAGATTTATAAAAAGCAGCGGCTGAACTATTTAAAAAAATCAATTTGTTGTAAATTTTAAACAGTAATTGAATAAATTAGACAAAATCATTTGAACGCTTTTTTGGATTCACCATTCTTCTTTTTCACTTATCTAGAAATAAATGTATACAAAAGACTTAACAACTTTTTTATCTTTATTCCGTTATATATATTTATATTATATTTTATTATTTTTATATACATATATACATATATATGCATATATATATATATATATATATAGATATATATATACCGGTAAATATAATTCCTAGCAGAACTTCTTTCTCTGGAAACAATGATTAATGTTGCCCATTATACTAGAAGTGGAAGCAGGAAAACAAGACAAAAATCGATAACTCCAGCTTTTTTTTATGCAGGCATGGTTATGTATATATGTGTAGATAGATACACATGACCACCATTCGTCTCTAACTTATGGTTTAAAATGTGTATCGGCATGTATATACATACATGAACATATATATATAAAGGCATATATATATATATATATATATATTTGTATATGTATAAATATATATATATATATATATATATATATATATATAAATATACATAAATATATACACATATATGTATATATAGATGGCTAACAGTGCCATCTCCTGCAATGCATGTAAAAGCAGTTTATCTATATGTTAGAGAAGAATACACAGGGTGTGTATTGAAATTAGCAAAATTACTGAGGAGTGAATGTATTAATTTTTACATGCCGAAGTATTAGATACTTGTCTCGCGGCTGCCAATTAAAAAAAAGTATGCAATTTTTCAAAAAGGCCGCTAAGCGCCGAATTTAATCCATATTTATTATTTATCAAACGACTCCTCTTAAGAAAATTTTTACCTAAAACCTTGGTAGAAAGAAATTGTCAAACGTGTGCAGTAGAGAAGAGACTCAAATCTGAATGAAAAAAAAGAGAGTCTTTCTTTTTGGTAAGGAGAGGATGGCTAGCGGAGATCGTTGATCCAAATGTGTGCAGTAGAGAAGAGACTCAAATCTTAGTGGGAAAAAAAGAATCGTTTTTTAATGTTAAAGAGTGGGTAGCTAGAGGAGATCCTTGATTCATTTTGTTTGTTTAGATGAATTGGACTTTGGTTACAATTTGTCAAAATAATCGTCATTACTTTTCAAAGTAAACATATTGACCTGAATATCGCTGATGTCATAATGTCATTTCAAGTCTCGATTACTAAAAAAATGCATTATTCTGAAGTCTGGTGGTATCTATCAATATGAATTATAAAATAAAACTGTGATCTTTTTAATTTATCTTCTCTATTTACTCTCTCTGTGCGTGTGTGTGTGTGTTTGTGTGTGTATGTGCCAATGATTATTCTGTCTTAAAAAAACTACTAATGCTGCTCGATGTATCTTATGCTGCTTAAGCAAATAACAAAATTATGCGACATCATTCTTTAGCCGTAGTTCTCTTCTTTTTTTTTTGTTTATAAAGAGACTGTAGTTTATTTTTTTATTTAATAATTATGTCGTGATACTTTGTTGTTCCTCTGTTTTGCTTTATTTACAGTTCGCGATATATACATCTATATATATGCGTAATATAATGTATATGTACCTCTAAATGTTTCGTATCTACTTACGAGTGTACGCATAGACGTACGTACGTACGTACATTTATATGGATGTTTTAGCTAGAATACTTATACTTTTGTATTTCTGGTTGTTATTTCGATGAGGGTTTTTTGTTTTTTCGCCTTTTAAAAAATAATAAACTTATTTCTGTTTTTTTTTTTTCATAGAACGTTTTAAGTTTCTCCATCAATTTGTACTGAAAATGGGTTACGAACAAAAAAGATTTTGCTTTCAATACCTTTCCTTTGGTTTACCACCGTATATTAACAAAAAAAAAAAAAAAAAAAAAAAAGTATATCTATATATATATATATATTTATTTCCCAGACGAACATTACCTTTCATTTGTTTTCTCAATTTCGTTGTCGCTGATGTTTATTCAGTGAAATAACCGTGGAAGTAGTAAAGTTGAAAGTAAGTAGAGCATCATATAGCTGAAAAGGTTATTTCAAGGTTATTACGCTCATTATTAGACATGGGTTATTTTTTACTAGAGCAAATCGGTGTGAACAACATTTTTTTCTGTGTTTTTTTTTTTTTTTCGCTTTAGGAGAATTCAATGGAAAACTATAAAATGTGAAATTTCCATGTAATGTAAATTAATATTTTAACGATTTGATGTTTTCTGTTTATTATTAAGTATTGAAATGTCATTAAAATGCAAATAAATGCACAAAATTCTCTTGGAGAAATGTAAGGGAAAAAAGTTGAATATTTATGGTAGAACTTGTTGAACAGTCGCAATAATTGTTTTGAAAAATTTCATGTAAAAAAAAAAAATTTATATTCATAGAATTTATATAATGAATCCCACGCCAAATTTAAATATAGAAATTGTGAAATACTTTTACCGTTTATGGTGTATGGTCAGGATGCGTTAGGTAGTTCAAATTCATCTTATAGACGGCTTTCCGTAACATTTATAGAAAAACTTTAGTTAACTATTTGCTGCGAATTGTAAGTTACAATTTTCTACCTATTGCGAGCATGGGCGTGGCATTTACTTTCACACACGAATTTAATGTAAAGTTTTTTTCAAATTTTATTTACGCAAATGTTACATATTTCGGCAACAGATGATAGATAGACGAGCTAAAGGGCGAGATCGATCGAAAAAAAAAAAAAAAAAAAAAAAAAAAATATATATATATATATATATATATGTATTCCTTTTGATAGTTACAAATGGAATGATAATTTTAGCATACTTCTCGGCTTTATTAATGTACATAAAAGACATGGACGCAGAAAATACTAAATATTCGTTGTAAAGGTAGTGTTCTTACAATGTAAAAGGGATGATAGGAAAGCTGTCACCACTGGTATATGTTTTTTTGCATGTTTTATTATTATTACTATTATTATTATTATTATTATTATAAATTTAACCAGAGAATAAATTGTAAGACTAAAGTTTTCAAGCATTAGCATCTAAGGTTTTCGGCTTTTATTAATAAATCTACCGTACTAGAGATTTTAACGAGCCCAAGACCATTGATTTGCTAATCGAGACTTTTGGTTTCATTGTTTCATAAATATTATCATTTCATAGAAATAATAGTTAGCTTCAGTTGAACTCATGAAACTCCTCCGCTCTTAGTGTCTGCGATTCAAATAAATTTGTACGTCCGCCCGAGCAGCGGAGTAAGCAAAAGATCGCGACGTAACAACTTCCTGGGAATTGTCGGTA